TCGAGCCCCGAACGACGGTGGCAGTTGCGATCAGGCTCGGCCCGTCTCTTTGGCCTGAGGGTACGCGCAAGCATACCTGATGGGTATTGCCGCCAAGCGATCCTAGAAGGGTCGATCAAGGGGTCTCTCGGTCGGGAACCCTTGATCCCGAGGCTTAACATACCCATATGTTAGGATCTTATTAGTTTGCTTGCTAAAATGGAAATAATGTGCAAACATTGTGATGAGTTAACTAATAAAGTTGCTAATCTTGAAGCCATCGGTACAACCCCCACCGAGTCATCTAAAAAGAAAAGTTCAATCTTTGACATGCCTAAAAAGGATGCCTCTACTTCTTGCAATGATTTGTGTTTGGACTCACCCTCTTGCGACCAAGTTTGTTTTGAGAAAGTTGTTGTAGAAATATGCACACAAGAGGTTGCAATGGAGAATGAGCAACTCAAGCAAGAAGTGGCTCGCCTCACCAAGGACTTGCCTCAAGCTAAAGGCAAGATGGAGCAAACCCAACTACATCAAGATAACACCATCAAGAGAGTGAAGAAGCTTGATGAAGGAAAAACCATGGTTTGCTACGTGTGCCACAAGGAAGGCCACAAGTCCTATGAGTGCATGGTGAAGAATAGGGGAGGAGCAAAGAAAGAGAAAACACAAAAAGCAAACAAGCAAGCTCTCCAACACACCAACAAGGTGAACAAGAAGGCCTCCACACCTTATCTCTTGAAGAAGAAGAAGAATGACAAGGTGGTGGCCATCAAGGTGAACAAGCAAGCTAACAAAGAGGCCAAACTTATTTGGGTGCAAAAGGAAATTATTTCATCCATGAAAAGCACCAAGAAGGTTTGGATCCCAAAGGGGAAGTGAGAAGTCAAATGGACTTCGGGGAATTTTGAGACTTGACAAAGTGTGGGTGTATTTCATGGGATGCATCATGATGCACAAGATAATTGCCAAGTGGGTAGTGTATATTTTGGACCCAAATTCCCTTCCCATGTTAGGTAACTAGATTTAATTTTTGCAATTTCAACTAGCATCTAGTTCCTTTTATGCCTAGGTTTGCATTTGCATGTTTGATCTTTTGTCATGCATACACTAGGTAAATCATATGGTAGGCTTGCCCGGTTTCACTTTTAACCCTTGGAGCAAACCTACATGGTTTAAATTGTTTAGGTGCACGGCACATAGCTTGTGTTTACAATTGTTTATCTAATATGTGCCAAAGTCCAAATTATAGATACTTTCCCCAAATATCATTTTTGAAAATGATCCTCACAGTCATGTGATGTCATCTTTCAAGTGGTATTTTTTATCTTAAAAGTCAATGTGCATGTCTCCTACAAGTATTCTATGCTTGTGTGCACAAATTTATGGGGAGGTTACTCTACAAGTTGGATGCTTTGAGACTAACATTATTTCCAAGATTATCATGTGTGTAGTAGTCTCATTGCAAGGAAAATGGTGTCCCCGGAGATAAGCATCATGCTTCAAATGACCATCACCCATTTCAAGTGGTGTCTCTCAAATTGGTTTCTACATGTGGTACTCCTAAACGATTATCATTATGTTGACTTCAATTTGGTTTTTATAAGCTTTATCCATGCATTATATAGATTAAACTCCCTCGTGCATTAAATTGCCAATTATGCATATACTTCACCCTCCATCATATGTATGCATATATTTAGGGGGAGCTTAGTCTATGTAATGTGAGAGTCAAGTTTTGTGATCATTTCCACTCCACATACAAAGGCTCACAAAATTTACCCCCCCCCTCCTTTTGCTACTAATGTCTTCCTTTTCGGTGTTTGATTCTAAAGGGGGAGAATTTGTAGTACCAAAAGCAAACCCAACACATAGACCAAAGGGGAGAACCCTAATTGGGAATGGTCCGAGAAAGGAAGAATAGTAGATTATGGAGTTAGGGGAGGCTTAAGTCCATAATGTCACTTGGGGACATTTGCAAGGGCAAGATAAGTTTCCAAAGATTTTTACAAGTGTCATCGTTTAGCATCAAATAAACTTGCCTTTGCATTGTATCCTAGCAAGTAGATAGTATTTAAATTTTTGCATCTATTATTATTTGCTTGCTTTGGTCATGTTGTCATCAATCACCAAAAAAGGGGAGATTATAAGGAAAATGGACCCTAGGCCCATTTACTTTGGATTTTGGTGTTTGATGAACAACATGACCAAGTTGGACTAATGTGCTTGCAAGTATATGATTTGTAGTCCAATAGGTTGCATAGCGGATTTGGACTGAGAGTGGAACATGAAGAATTGATCAACACTCAAAGGAAGACACTAGAGGTTGTGTGATCAATCTAGAGGTGAAGCTAGGAGTCCAAGACGCAAAGATTAAGAAGCCTGGACCAAGACTCGAGCAAAATTGAAGACACCGAAGCCGAGAAAAAGATGTGGATGAATTGGAATTGTCTCATGATCTTGGATATGCTCAAATTGGCATAAAACCAGCTCAAAGTTGTAGATCTTTTCATTAGCTTTTCGAAAAGTCCAAGATTATCAAAATCGGAGTTTGGAGCTAAAAGTTATGCCCAAAATACGAAAGGCCCGACATGCTGAAAATGCAGCAGCAGGACGCGTCCGATCCTGAACGTCCGGTCACCATAGGAGAGTCCAATCAGGTGTGTCCGGTGCTCACAAAATCAGCCCCAAGTGTACAGTAGCAGCGTCGAGTCTGGTCCCAAGCGTCCTTTCCTCACAAGTGTGTCCGGTGCTCACAGAAAACAAGTGAAACGGCTAGTTCCCCAACGGCTAGTCGACGTGGCATGACCGGACGCATCCAGTGCTACCATAGGAGCGTCCGGTCCTCTACAGAAAGCTACAAATTGGCCTCCAACGGCTATATGTGCAATGGGGCTATATATATATGTGTCCCAACAGGGCATTTGAGGTGTGAGGGAACAAGGAAAAGGTAGAGGGGTGTTCCTGCACCACATTTGTGCTCTCCACATGCATTGGGCTTAAAGATCACTTGGTGATTATAGCGTAGGACTTTTGCGAAGTGCTTAGGTTAGTTAGACCATGCTCATATGCACTTGCTCTAGACTTAGGTCTAGTTGCTAGTGAGGCTTTCATATCTCTCATCCAAAGGTGCTTGCACGCACCGTGCTTGTACTCGGCGGGGCATCTAGTCTTGCGAGACCACACCAACCGTGCTTGTTTGTGTGGCCACCACTATGTACCGAAGGGAACATGGCCCGTGGCGGTTCGGCCGAAGCTTGATAGTGAAGACGGTGGGGAGCGGTCCAGGAGAGGCTTGCTAGAAGGCACACCGAAGACCCACTTATGCGTGGGAAAGGCTCGGGGCTATCCACAGAGTTACCCAACAGGGAGCTTGGACCTTGCTAGTGATTCCTTGCGAGGGGCTCAAATGAGGACTAGGAGAAAGCTTGAGCGTTTCTCGATACCTCGGTTAAAATAGCGAAGTCGTCGACGGGAGTTTGCATCTCTACCTCATTTTTAACTTCTGTATTTATATTGCTTACCTTGATTGTGTGCTTACTTTTCTAGCTTAGTGATAGGCTAGTTGATAGGATTAGAACATATGTTACATAACTCTTTTGCAGTAGAGAAAACAACATACTTAGCAAAACCATAGTTGCACATTTGGATAGATTACTATCTTGCATAGATTTTGACTAGGTGGAATTAGAGGCCATACTTAGAGGTAGAATTTTAAGTTGTCTAATTCAATCCCTCTGAGGTGTCACAAGTTCCTACGCACCTTATAGCCCCAAAGTCTAACAACAATGAGATTAGAAAAATCTTACTCATGCCCGTCTAGCTCAATGTTGAGGATAGAAATTTCGGAGCATTAAAGGAGAATAAATTACTGACCCCTTGTTAATCCTGCAAGGTTAGATGAAGACTAAGCAAACTGAACGATTGAAAGTTGAAACAGCGATGAGCTTATATTGTGGAATATGAAAGCAAGTTTGCACAAACAAAAAATTGACGAGGTCAAGAATTTTGAAAGTGCCACTGATACTGTAATCGTATCGAAGACAGGCTTAAGTAAGAGCAAAGCGCGGCGAGGAGTTTATGACCTTTTTGGGAGAGGTAAGAAGAGATAGTATTTGTGTATTTTTTGTTATCTTTGGACGCTAACAAAAATTCGACAGCTATCACAAGCGAAATGAGATAAGCCGCACAGCCGCAGCATCAACTGATCGACAGCACCCACCAGCTCACGCCGTAGACGGCGCAGCTAGCGAAAACCGACGGTGGGGTCAGTTAACCACTAGCGCCCCTGGCGGCCGTCACCTACCCTTCGCCGCTGCCGCTGTTGGGAGCCGTCCCCGGGCCGGCGGCTCCTTTCACCTCCCCTCCCCTTCCCTCCTCCACCGCGCCTTCCTCTAGCCCCGCCTCCGCCGCTGCCTCCAACCGCGCCCCAGTCCCAGCGGGCCGTGTCTCCTCCCTAGATCCGGTTGGTTCGTGCGCCACCGGATGGGCTGCCCCCTCTCCGTCACCGCCGCTGCCGGCCTCCGAACCGGCGCCGGCGGCGTCCCCCTCCTCTCCCTCGTCGTCCACCCCGCCTCCTCCCTGTTTCCCCCATCACAGACAGCCTAGCGAAAGCCACTCCAGCGCCGGCAGCCACCTCCCAACCTCCTGCCTTAGTTGCCGCTGCTAAGTCCCCGGCCTCGCTCTCCCCAGATGCTGCCCCATTCTTCCCCTGCTCCAACAGCAGGTCTAAGAGCTGGCATTGGATGGAGGACTCCTGTTTCCTCTCCGACGAATCCGATGGCGAGCGTTCCCCCGCTCGGTACCTGGAGGCCGCTCGGCGGGCCCTCTCGGCCGCACCCATCAAGGAGAACCCTCCCGAGGACGTTGCACATCCGGCCCCCCGCGCCGCCGGGTCATGGGCCGCGGGTACGGGCTAGGCACCAAGACGCCGCCGCCTACGCCATCGTCGCATGCGGGATGCTGCAGCGCTTCCGGCTGGGGAGCAAGGTGCCGCCAAGTGGATCCCGGCCGCCCCCGCCATGGAGAACCCTCCTGAGGACGTCGCGAACACGGCCCGCCACACCGCGGGGCCTTCACGGGCTGCGCCTGGGGAGCAGGGTTCCGCCGGGCAGATCCCGGTGCACCACCGGCTGGGCCCATGGCGCAGGGCCTCAGCACCGGACGCTAATGGCTGGCAGAAGGTACTGCCGCACATGCAGAATCAACGCCGTCACTGTCGCAGACGCGGGCGCCCACCTCCACGCTGGCACCGTCCAGTCCCCCCGGCTCTGGTAGGCCTCTGCTTCAACTGCCTCGCCGAGGGGCATGTCGCCTCCCAGTGCCGCTTCCCTTTGCGCTACCTAATCTGCAGAAGCACAGAGCACCATGCGAGAGCTTGCAGATGCGGTCGTTCACCGCATCGTCAGGCATCAGGCACAGATGGGGGGAGCCCGCTCCATCACCAACGTTGTCACCAGGGGAAACCGAGGCATATCAGGGCCATGGCCGCGTCAACACCAGTTCGGCAACGCCGGCGACGGCCATGACTCCGGTGACGCGCCCGACCCGCAGCTTGGGCCTGGGTGGGGTCCGACGTTCCAGCAAGCGCCACCTGTCATTGTTGCCAAGATTCCCTGCCCAGTCCAACCTGGTCACGGTACTTGGTCATCTGGACCACGCACGTCAGGTACGGTGTCGTCTTCCACCTCCCAGTCGACCGAGGCATCCCAGGATTTCGAATTTCGAATCCTCTCGCAACCGGAACTGCCGACTCCCAGGATGGACCCAATGCTTCATGTCGCTGACACGGAGGGCCCCGAGTGCTCTTCACCATGCCTAGTGGCAACTGAGCAGCCGCTTTTGGTCATGGAGCCGGAAATGTCGCCGCAAAGCGCCGATCCGCAGACGTCCTGGGCGTCGGGGTTGGTGTCTGACGAGCATGAGCTCACTGCATGGCCTGCGGTTCTGCCCGTTGTTCGCGGAGGGTTGGCTGGTTCAGTTGGCCTCTGCCATCCCAGCGAGGGTGACAACGTTTCTAGAGATGGGCTGGACCAACTTCTTCCTTTCCAGCCTACCGTCGGGAGCCTACACTTTGAAACCCACAACGAGGAGCCTGCACAGCCTACCGTCGGGGACACCTTGGAAGCCCACGACGAGGGGCCTGCTCTTAACTCGCCAACCAACTGTTGCCCGTCTGTTGCAGGATCTTCCACAGTCCGACCCAATTCAGTCCAGGACATCATCGCTAGCCTCAAGTTGCCGCTCAAGGAGTCGCTGCTTCAGTCCCCGCCGCGCCTCCGTGTCTTGCGCGCGTGATGAAGCTCTGGTGCCACTGCGCAGCGACAGACTCCCAGCCAAATCCGTCTACCGTGACCCACAGCCGGAGAAGCAGGCCAAGCGGGTGATGCTCAACAAGTGGCGGCCTTCCTCGGCATGCGCACCACGGACATCACCGGCAACGCCTGACGCGTCCATTGCGGAGCGGTTCCACGAGACGTTTGCAGAGCCTTTGTCTTCCTCCAAACGCGCAGCAATGTGGGAGCTCTTCCCCAAGGCTGGTGTCTGCAGGGGGCGGGCGGCGCCGCGGCCGTCCTGAGCACGGGATGGCTCTCCGTCGCTTCGTGGTTGTCGCCTAGACGGCAGCGCAGAGCAAGCTCTTCTATCGCACATTTAGTTTCTTAGTTAGTCACAACAGTGTGTTCCACCGCCTAACGGTGCCTTTTGTTTGTGTTCAACCCCCATCATTAATGGTATCTCGCCGTGATGTGATGAGGACGTATAACCTTTCTAAAAGGTCTTAATGAAACACATGCCATGCACGTTCCCGAAAAAAGTTATCTTTGGACGCTGGTGCGGCTAGCTACTATTGCAGGGAGCAATATTATAACACAAGTTCAGACCTGACAAACGAAAGGAATACATAGAGACTTTGCACTGACTGAAAACAGAGAAAACAGGTCCTAAACCGAAAAGGAGTGAAAGAGCTTGCTGCTGACCCAAAAGAAAATATGCAGCGCCTATTTAAGTGATTAACTTCTGTGTCTTGAAAGGGACTTGTCACCAACCTGAGGAATTACATAGTTCGGGATTGTGCACTTACTCTGAAGCCATCTTACCTGTTGTTGCTATTGTAGGCAGTCCGAAAAAATATTGTACTGAAAATGCCACCCCAGGATGACTAGCTATAGAGACAAGAACCAAGGTACTGCAGACCGGATGCTACTTTTGAAAATCAAAGTTTCAGAAACAACACAGCAGGCAATCTGAGTGTCTCTGAAATATCAAAACCCATCAAAACGAGTTGGATAGAGCTGAGATTTTGAAAAAAGCGTCCCGCTACCACAAGCAATCCATCCCAACCAGAAACACCTCAAAAAGACTGGTGATTGGCTGGCACTTGGCACTCCTGAAATAAAAGCAGCATACTGATTCAACCGGTCCTTGGGGACTCCTGCAAAAAAGGCTAGTCCGGTGACAGAATCCGATTTTATGCGAAAGATTGAGCAGGGTATAACGCATTCTTCCTGATGCGAAATAGTTAACTTATCGCTGATGTTCCGAAAAGTTGTCACGAGGCAGTTCGAATCGTTGCTTAGTCCTGGGCGCGTGCGTCGCCCCACCCATCATCGGCCCCGGACTTGAAGATGGGGCCGTTGGAGGCAGAAGCGCGGCGGAGGCCAGGATCCCGCGGGAGTTGGAGGCAGAAACGCGACGGAGGAGGTGATCCCTCGGGCGTCGGAGATAGAAGCGGGGCCCTTCTGTTGCGGCGGAGAGAGTGCTGGTAGAAATCGCGCAGCGCCTAGCGAAGTGACGGAGCTGCCAGGGCGAGGGTGAAAAGGAGGCCACGGAGCAGGACTCGCCTCGCCAGCTGCGAGACCTGCGCGCTGTCGTCGTCTCCGCCGTGGAGAGTTCCAGAATATTGTATATTTGCGACTCCGATCACCGCGTTTCGCAATTTTAGGACTAATCGACGACCTAGTAAAAATAACCCTCCTCGTCATGACATTAAATGTTTTTTATATGTTTCGTAGTATGTATACCTGTATCTGGCACCTCCCCTTCAGCCTTTCCCTGCGTGCATGGATACGTTCGGCTTATCCCATATTCGGCTTGTTCGACTTCTTTTTTCAGCCGCAACAGTGTTTTTCTGTCACAATAATTCAGCCAGAACAGTATTTTTCAGCCAGTTTCAGCTAAAATTCTGCCAGCCGAACGGGGCCACGTTTTGTTTCCGCCCGACGGTTCGTGCCGCCGCCGGTCGTGACGCTTGCCCTAAACGCACCGGCCTTCATGGAAGCCGCCGGACCTGATGGCCAGCCGCCCAACCAGGTCGTGGCCGCCGATGGCCCGACCACGGCCGTAGAGGGCATGGCCGCGCCGATCGCCCAGAGCCTGGGCACGCCGGGCATGGACGACCAGGTCGCTCCCGCTTGTGGCCTGGCCGAGCCCAACACCATGTCCAGTTGCCCTGGCGAGGTCGTTGCTGCCTACTCCTCCTCGAGCAGTAGAGTATAATCTTCCTGTAGTTGAGTTGTCGTTCAGGTGATGCTCTTAATCATTTGTGTTTTTGTTTGTGTTCAGTATACTCGCAATCGTGTTGATAGTGATAGTTGTTAATTATTTGTGCCGTTAATTATTTATGCTAATTATTGTGTGCCATTATTTTTTTATGTTAATTATTTTGTGCGGTTAATTATTTGTGCTGTTAACTATTTGTGTTATTATTTCTGTTCAGTATGCTCTTTAATTATTTGTGTTATTTGAGCCGTTAATTATTTATGTTAGGTCCGAACTAGAGCCTGTGGAAAATACAGCAAGAGTTGATTGGGATAGCTTACAGACAATGGAGACTCATGATGACGAAGATCAAATTGCACTTTTGAGTGAAAATCAGATGTCTGATCTTTTAGGCTTTAGAGAAGAGGAGACACACGTTGATCAAGGCCAAATGAATGAACAGGGTGTTGGTAACGAGCTTGGTGTTGATAATGATGGTGCTGCCATTCCTACTAGTGATGTCGTACTAAGTGAGATAGTGATTTCATATGATAAGAACAACCCCCAATAGATATTGGCACAATCTACCCAACATTGGAGGAGTTTAAGATGACAGTGCGACAATTTGCCATCAATAAGGAGTTTGATCTAGGAACAAACAAGTCATGTAAGACAAGATATAGGGCATATTGCAGGTCCGGCGATGATTGCTCTTGGAGAATAAATGGCACCAAACATAAAGGCCAAGGCACTGTAGAGGTAAATAAATTGATTTGTTTTTTATTATTAATTCTAATTTTTGTGTAAATTAATATGATTCTCATTAATTGTGTGTTTTGCAGGTGACAGTTTTGGTTGATCGCCATACATGTGTTTCTACCATGAGGTCGAAAACTAAAACTCTGTCTCGGAAGTGGGTAGCTAACAAGGCTATGAGTATCCTTAGAGATGATCCAAAGATTGGTGCACTTGAAAATACTATCATGGTTCAGCTAAAGGCAAATACTAGAGGTTTGGGGCACATAAAAATTGTACCAGGTGCTAATTGGAGTGTAGAGGTCTGGGACTATAGCAGAAGAGTTGAGAGGCATATTGTGAAGTTAAATCAAAGGACTTGTACTTGCCTTGAATGGCAGCATAATGGTAAGCCATGTCAACATGCATTGGCCTTTGTAACCAGGGAGCGGGAAGTTGACCTTGAACAATTTGTGCATGAGTACTACTCGGTGAATAGGTTCAGGGCTGCTTATGGTAGAGAGATTGAGCCACTGACAGACAAAATACACTAGACACAAGTGGAACTACTGTTTGTTGTTGGTGCATGTAATACCCTTGGTATTACGCCCTAAACAAATTACCAAATCATGTCATGAGCATCATGTTTACGTGATAATGCATGTGATGGAATGAATAGATGAAGTATTGCAACCTAAAATGATCAATAAAAATGCTAAACGAGAAGCTATTCCATAACTCATGTAATTATCAAGTAGGGTTTTAAACCAAATTTTATTGAACAAAAATACAATAGAACATCCATAACTCATGTAATTATCAAGTAGGGTTTTAAACCAAATTTTATTGAACAAAAATACAATAGAACATCTATATGGCACTTAAATAAAGTTTGGAATATGAACTTTGTAGATGACAATGAAATCCTTGCTATTGAAAATTAACCTTGCTAGCTAATGTTTCTAATAGCCTAGAAATGCAACTTGGAATGAAGTTCAGCTCAAAGACTTAGAATATTTTCAAGTTCATAGGCAGCAAGACAATGCAATGTTCAGGAATTTATTTTTTGAAATCGGGTAAAGGAAAGGTGTCATGTTTTAGCTCGGCTCGGTAGCCTCATATGCCAATTTGAGCATGGTAAAGATGGTTTAGGTCCAGAAGCAACCGTTTAGTTGTAATAGGCGCTTTAAATTTCTTCAACAACACGTTCTCGGGTCAGTTCATCGGGTGAGCGCGGTCACCACGCCTCGCGGGCGCGACGTCACCACGCTGCTCGCTCGCTGCGTGCATCGCAGATCGACGCGTGTGGCCGGGCTACGACTACTTCTGTCTGCCGCCACCATCGGCTCTCGTCGCTGGGAGTCATTTGCCGCCAGACGGCCGATCGGCCTTGACCGCCTACCTCGCCCATACCTGCCGCATTACCGACCGACCGCCTCGTGTCGTGATGTAGCCGCTGCCACTGCCATCGCATCGTCATTGAGTCCGTGCCTGTCCGCTGTACCCTTACCCTGCTGCTAGCCCAGTTAGATGTCGCGCGCATGTGGTCGAGCTCACCGTCGCCATGCCATTTATGGCACTGTGGCCGCGCGGGCCATGCCGGTTGTGGACGCTTTGTCCGTACCTAAGCCCACCAACCACTTCCCACCAAGGCAAGCCCCAGCTAAGCCCACCTGTTGCACCCTATCTCTCTCTCTGCTGCCGCCCTCGGAGCCGCGCCAGCACGATAGACAATGAGAGGTCATCTCCAATCAATTCCGCCTGTCTACAGACCCACCAGTGAGTTCTCTAGCTACCCAACCCAACCCAGCCATGAAGAAGGCATTGCCAAGCTCCAATTTGGTGCTTTTCCCGCTGCCATGCCAACAAGGCCGCGTCCGTCACGGATGAGGGCAACCCCCTTACTGTCCGCCCCAATCCAATTCACCTACACTACTAGCCTTGCCTTCCCTCCCTCTCCACCTTACGCATGTCAGCGGAACCACTACCGCCTCCCCATCGCCACTGACGTGACCACGCCACCGCATGGCTCACCCACACGTGGCCACCCCTCCTCCGCCATCCTCCACTCCAACCATCACCTC